GTGTACTCTTAATGTATTTGTTGTTTTATTATGCTTTCATTAAAAAATTATAAATTAATTACGCTCTGTTTGTTAATGCTTGGAAACACTATTGTTGCTCCTACTTTATTTGTTTATATTTTGTTATGCTTCACTAAAAATTAATAATTATATTAAAAATTTGTAAATTAATAACACTCTGTTTAGTTAATGGCTGAAAGTACTTTTATGCTTTAATAAAAATAAGGTTTAATTAATTAAATTTAATATTTTGTGGGGGAGGTGATAAGTGACATATAGAAAAGGTTTTTTGGTCACTTTAACATTTTACTATTTTTTTTATTTTTTTTATTTTTAGACTGTTCCAATATAATCATAGGTATTTATTAGGCTCTATTATACATTATATGAGTAATAATAGTTAAATTTCATCTCAATTAAGAATGTGGTTCCACATCTTTTTGAGATACTTAAGAAACTCAAGGATGCGGTTACGCATCTTGGTCAAATTCAAGGATGCGGTTACGCACCTTGAACAAATTATTTTAATAATTAATTTTGTTAATTCAAACCAAGAGGTGTAAATTGAGATTATTAGGTGTGATGAACTCGAGAGGAGAAGACAGTTATGTCTCCAGATGTCAATATCGAGAATGCAGTTATGCATCCGATTTAAGACTAATAAAAATTCAACAATAAAAAAATAATAATAAGCAAACCACGGCCTATAGACATAATATATCCAAAAATAGTAAAAAATAAGTATAAGTCAATAAAAGCGATCGTGCTAGAACCACGAGACTCGAGGGGTGCCTAATACCTTCCCCTCGGTCAATAGAATTCCTTACCCTAATTTCTAGTTCGCAAACCAAAACTAAAAGAGTCATTTCCTATTGATTAGGGATTTGAAAAGGTGACTTGGAACACCATAACTCAATTCCAAGTGGCGACTCTGAAACAATAAAATAATCCCTTAATCAATAACGTCACTTAAATTGGAAAAAACCCTTCCGCCGCCCGCGCAAAAAGGGGTGTGACACTAGCTATAATTGGAGGCAAACAATTTCTGCTAAACCAACCAATATTATCAACATAATTATATAGTTTGAAACTGTGCTCTTAATTTAACAATTTGAGCAAACAACCTTACAAAAATCAATTTGTAAGTTGATGAAAATGCACATGTTACCATACCATAGATGCATTTATTAAATCATAATAGTAAGCGATCCACATGGCAGGTGAATGGGCTCATATTCACCATTTTATATGTTCCAAATAATTTCAGGGGATTCAATCCCAACCTTAGTTGGTACAATAATCATTTTTTCATGAGAACAAGCAACACAAGAAAATTCTTGAAGAATCTTTTATTTCTTCAACATATAACCACATGAATTTTCAATTCTTTTGCATCACATGCATTTGAACCGAAATGGTCAACCAGTTATGCCAACTGATATTTATTCTAGTAAACTTCTAGTTTACTTTTGCATGTGATTTCATCATCATGCCTATATTTGTATACAACAAACAAGAGAAAGGCAGATAACCTTGTATGTAAATATTCATAACCCATTTTGATTGTAGTAATCTGAAGATATTTAATCTTTCAATACTTTACAGTCTCAATATAATAATTTTTTTGCAATTCCTCCGAAACTTAAAAAGTTTCTTTTGAGACTTACTACAACCTCAATATTATGAACTATTTTCATTTATGGATAGTAATAAATTAGTTCTTCCGAAACTCTTAATTAAGTTTGTGTACTGCCACAAATTTCACAATACCATTCTTATGGTGATCATCTCCTCCAAGGAGAAAATTATTATTATTGTCATGGTTAAACTTATTACATACTTATTTCTTGACAACCAATAACAAATTTGTGTTGCCACACAACATTTATTTTGGTCATGACCATAACTTTTATAGAAAAGAATTATTTCTTTCTTTTGTCCTCCAATAGTTCATAATAAAACATACCACAATAATTGTGTAGTACTCAAAGTATATGACCAAAATGACAATTTATGTCAAAATATATTATATTTTTCAATATCTCAAACCTCCCATAGAGGTGAGATGTGACATTTATCCAACCATAGATGAACATGTCATTATCCATACGAACACAAGTCACATTCTCTTCAAGAAGTGGACCATAACCATTTGTACATGCTCCATAAATTTTTATTAAAAACTCATTGTCATGCTTTGACTTTATCAAATTTATGTGACCCACCTCAACATCCCTTTAAAAGGTCAAATGTACTAAATGTACTACCACGTTGTATTTCTTTATTTTGATGGAGGATTTTCAAAACTTTTCAAATTGGATTGCATCAACAACAATGTGCCCAATAACCTTTCATACCACTTTGATGGCCAAAAATTATCTTCACATTTGAAGGACCATCTTAAGAACCCATAATGTTCTTCCTTTTAATTACCACAATTGACCATTAACATTTTACCACACTCATATTCATACATTTGACCACTTGTCATTTTTAGACACATTATGTCCTGCTTCCACATTCACATAAAAGAATGGAGCAAATCAATTGGACAAATTTCATGACTTTTATCAAGAGCATATCAATTTGCTCAATCATTGTTACATCGTCATTATATAACGATGGGACTTGAATCCAACGTCTTACCCATAATAAGACATTTTAGGTCATTATTTGTTGGGACCCAACCCAACGTTTTATTATCATGATGCACCAGGACTCTCACCCGATGTATTACCCTCTTGGTGCGATAGGACTTGAATCCTTCATCTTACCCTCAATCAATGACATAATAAGCCAAATATAATATGACTCACCATTGAGCCTTAAAAAAATATTGTCACTTTGTGGTTAACATGCACAAATAAATATAGAATAAAAGAAACACAATAAAAATATTCTCAACAAAGTATGTACTAATATCTTAAACTTTTCAAAGATAGAGAGTTACATATACCATTATATTATATTATGTTTGGTGCACAATAATTAAGCTAGTGATTACCGTTATATATGCACACTAAGAAAATAATAATTCCAATTACACTAAAATAAAACTGCTCACTAACACCACTCCTTTTTCAATTTCCATGTGAACCCAAAATATTTCACAAACAAAACAAAATAAATTAAAAGCTTATGCAATAACCAAAACAGTGAGCATAATCATAAATAAAATATAAAATACGTTTCACATACAAAATAAAGTATATATAGTCATAGGTGGAAAAAGAAATGCACAGTAACAATAATATTAATCATTCACCTTGTTCACAAGTAAAATATAAAATAGATTCTACAATAATTTACCTTGTTTCCGAGAGAAAAATATACACAATTGTTTACCTTCTTTTATTTACTTTGCTTCAATCCTGCAATGGTAGAACATTCGTGTTGATAACGTTTTGTAAAACTTAAGAACAAAAGAACAATATAAAGATGAAGACAAGAAGAATATAACACAAGAGGAACAATATGAGATAACTTTCTTTGTTTCAAGTGTTCACCAAATTTTCAAGTGTATACAATATGAACCCTTATGCTTCTATTTATAGTGTAACATAGAGGCATACAAAAGGTTAGTCATAAATATGACATTAACATCAATATAACGGGGGAGGTTATGGAAGTGAAAGGTTACAAGAATAATGGTTATAAATGTGGAGGTTATGGTTATCTTCATAATGGAGGAAAGTAATGGAGTAACTTCTTGATGTAGTGGACATCCACAATATATTATTTTATAACAATGAGCAAATTTTGACGTAATACCTTCTCACTTTTAGTATTTAGTATATTATGATATGATTAATATTTAGTATTTTATTAATTAAATACGTAGAAATGCTAGTCGAAGAATTCAAGATGACAAATTTGTATTTGGTAGTGGTATATATTGATTTAGTTACAACTCTTCATATTCTTTAATTTAAAATTAAAAGGGGAAAACCTTGATTCGCGTACTTATTTAAAATTCTAAAAATCCTAATTGGCTCTTGTTCTTCCACATTTCCTTTCTAATAAATAACTTATAATTCAAAAAATAATTAAAATAATATTATTTAATTAATTAGATGTTTAATTTAGTCTAGGGATAAAATGGTAATCCAATTTTTCATCTTTGGAGCTTCCTACTTTTAGTAAGATATGACATCCACAGCTTAATTGTGCAAGGGCCTTTGGAAGTTTTTTGAATGTTAAGTTTTAGGATCACAATTATACAATGTATCTACAAATGAGTTCTTGAGTTCAAATTAATCTTGCTTAAAAAATGTAATTTAACGCAAAAGAATTATAAAAGTTAGTGTTACGTCATACGTGAATGTGTACTTCACTCGGCTAAAAAAGAAACGTTTGTGTTAAATTCTTGAATAAATTATTTTTCAACTCACTTTTCACCTTTAAAGTTGTATTTAAGAATATTAAGGCATGAACATTGTTTCAAGTATTCTTGGAAAAGAGTATAAACAAACACAATTCCAATTTCATCTTTAACTATATAAATTTTAAATAAACTGATTTTTTTTTTTGAATCTATGACCAAAGCTTACTTTTTTTTTGGTCACGCACTGCAGGGGTCCATTCAGGGTGACACACTCCCAACAAGATTTTCTCCATACCCAGAACTTGAATCCGAAACCTTTGGTTAAGGGTGAAACACTTCACCAGTGCACCACAACTACTCATGTTGGTGACCAAAGCTTACTTAGTTTAACTGTAGTTATTACCAAAAATATAAAATTTAAACTTTAGTGGCCATGCTGATGAAATTTGCTTGACAAGTGTCCTTGTTCAATTATTTTGAATCAAAGGGGCAAAAACAAAAAGAAGAAGAAGCTGGTATGTATATAGCTCATGTGGCAATGAGCCTAGTTAATTAAGAAAATTCTTGTTTAAAGGCAAAATCTTGAAACAGAGTGGATCAAAAGAAAAAACAAAACAACTAACACAATAGCTGAAATAGTTGTTGGTTCTGCTTTGTTTCAGTGAAGAATATAGTGTTCTATCTATGCATGCGGCTCTGCTCCTGCTGGTTTTGCATTGAGTAGTGGTTGCAGTGCCTTGACGACAATTGTCATGTTTGGGCGGAAATCTGCCTCGTATTGAACACAAAGTGCTGCAACAGCTGCCATCTGAGAATAATTAAGGGTTAGAACTTAGATGATGTCAAAAAATAGGGGGTGCAAGTGTTTGACAAGAATATACAACCTTAGCAATTGCTTTTGGAGGGTACTCATTATTTAGCTTAGGATCTACACACTGCTTTACTTTATCTTCACTTAGTCGTGGAGTCGCCTGCAAAAGTGAATTTTTTGCTACGTTGTTTAGAGGTATAAATAGACATTCATTATACTATATAGTTTATTTAAAACACCTACCCATGTGACAAGACTCTGTTGCCCTTTTGGCATTGTATGATCTACTGGTTTCCTTCCTGTCAAGAGTTCTAACAGAACAACTCCAAAACTATAAACATCACTTTTCTGTGTTATCTGTCCTGTCATAGCATACCTGCGCGCACCACTATATCATTTTATGACACTAGTTAATTATTCATTAACTGTCAATAACAAGGCTAGGCTTACTCTGGAGCATGGTAGCCAAATGTCCCCAGTACTCGAGTTGAATGCAGACGAGCTGCTGTGTCCGAACACTGGTTTGTCAAGTTGAAATCAGCAATCTTTGCAGTAAAATCATCAAAGAGTAGTACATTGCTGGATCTTACATCCCGATGCTTAATTGGCGGTTGAACTTTTTCGTGTAGATATTCAAGTCCTCTAGCTGCACCATAAGCAATTTTGACTCTCTGATTCCAGGTAAGAACTGGACCAGGCTCAGCACCTTGTACTCCTTTTCTGCCTACAACAGAACATCCAAGAACACAATGCTTTTGTAACATGTTAACATTGGAAATTAATGTTTATTCATGATTCAATTATGTACCATGTAATACATCATGCAGCGAGCCCATAGTTGCAAACTCATAAACCAAGATCCGATTGTTTGCTGCGAGGCAACATCCTAACAGTGTTACAAAATGCTCGTGCTTAAGTCTTGAAACCATTGATAACTGCATAAGAAACATTATGATGAGAGAGTCGTCTACATTAGTTAACAGGAAAATATGAGACATTCATTCACCTGGGCGGTGAAGTCAGAATCTGGTTCTGGTGAAGAAGTAGTATCCAATTTCTTTATTGCTGCTTGTTGGCCGTTGCTTAATTTAGCACAAAAAACGCGGCCATAAGATCCCTCTCCAATGAGAGTTTTCTTTCCAAAGTTGCCAGTAAGTCTGTTTAGCTCAACCAAGGACATTTCTGGTACCTCAATAGGTAAAACTTTCTGAGGAGCTCCACTCTTAGCAGCACTCCTTGGCTCTCCTCTTTCACTACCTGCATTTTTACCAACCCAAAAATTTCAAGTAAGACTTTATCATGTCCCATCCAACAAAGTACCTAGCTAGTTAATTTAGATCAACAATTCAATCAATAGGAAAATAAATTAAGCACAGCCAAGAGGTTAACTATATATGTTAGAGGCAAGATGCTTCCATTTTGAACAATCAAATTAGTGTCAACGTAACCTGCTATCTTTGGCAGTAGCTGTGTTGTCTTTTTTTGGGGCCAGTGTTGTACGTTCCTTTTTACATACAAGCGAGAAATAGAGAATTCATCATTCTTGCTGCTACTACATTTTTTTCAAATAGACACTCACACTACTGGATCATCCTTATATTGACTTCGACACATTTTTTAATATATATATACTAGACAGAATAAAATTATCTTTTTATGAACATGTATATATATATTTAAATTCGTTAGAACAAAGAAGTAGAGTTGTAATATAGGTTGTTTTAGGTAATAGGTCAGTTTGGGAGGAAAAAAAGAGTTGGAAGTACCATGAAATTTGATGGAAAAAAACCAAATAGGAGCATACATACCACCACCCGTTCCACCACCATAAGGATTGCCGGCTCTCGGAGGTGCTGTATTTTGATTAACCGGTGGACCGCTGATATAACTGTCTTCTTCTGCGCCTCCACAGCAAATCATATTGTTCTTCAACTATAAAAATATACTACTCTTAATTACCTCAAAAACGTACTTAATCAAAATATAAATCTGGAAGAAGGGAGAAAGAGATATGTACTATTCAACGCATGGATTCTTTTAACCCATTAAACTAACACATGACTTGTACGTTCTACGTGTCTCCCTTAACTTTGCACGTCCTTCCCCTTTTCAATTCCTTCGTCTTATTTAAAAAATTACTTCATACCGCATCAAAAGTTTTAATAATATTTTTGGTCCCACAATTATGAATCCACCTCCTCTCCATTTTTCCCAAATTAGTGACACATGCCTTTTGATTAAATTAAATAGCTAAGATTTAATTTGTCCAAAGTAAATGTCTAATCATGATTTGAATAATAAATACATTATATGTATGGTTTAAAATTTTATTGTAATCCCACCATCTTAGCAATATATTATCTTGTCCATAAATATAGGAAACATAGTTACGCATAAGGGTGGCAACGGAACCAGGAGGTACCGGTACCGGTTCCGGTCCGTTACCGGTTCCGTCTCGGTTCCGGATAGTACCGGTTAGATCCGGAATTGTTCCGGTCCGGGAGGGGTAACGGGACGGAAACCGGGATTTACCGGTCCGTCCCGGTCCGGTTAGTCCCGGTCCGGTTAGTCCCGGTTCCGTCCCGGTCCGGTCCGGTTCGGAACTTTTTTTTTTTTTTTTTTTTTTAAATCTGAAAATTTGAAAAATAGCCGTTGAGAGTCGTTGGGCAACGGGTTTTGGGCCCCACCAACGGCTCTTTCACCCCATAACCCCCCATTTACACCTCCCTACCCCCCAAACTTTTTTTAATACCCCAAACTTCTTAAAACTACATTTTCAACCTTTTTTTTAACTATAAATACCCCTAATCTTTCATTCTTTTCACTCACAAAAATATCTTCTAATCTCTCTACTCTCTACTCTCTAAATTCTCTTATTCTCGACTTCTCATTAAAATTACGAATTTGGTCTTTGGAAATTGGAGCTTCAAAATTCAACTTTCAATTTTCGCCTTCCGGTCATACACGTCTACTTTTTTAAGTAGACGTTTGGTACATTCGTTCCAACTCACTTTTTATTTAGTTATTTATTTGTTTACATTTAATTATTTATTTTGTGAGTAATTAATCTCTAGTCTCTACTTATTTAGTTGTTTATTTGTTTAAAACTTTGCTAATCATTTTCGTATTATATATAATTTACTCACTTTTTATATTTTGAATATGGATTTCGGAAAAAACATTATTGAAAAGGGTAAAACAACCATAGTTAATTCGTTCACTAATTTATCTAGCTCAAAATCCAAGAAAAATAAAAAAACCGATAGTACTTCTCAATCTAAAACTAAAAAAACTTCTCAATTAAGAATAAATACGGATGATTATACGCATGTTGATGAAACTGTTTTTAGTATTGATAGTAACAGTGGATTAGATCCTTATCATGAACATTTACAAAGAAGATTTGGTAATTTTGAAGAGGAATTACCTGAAGATGATGAACATGATGATGTTAATGCTTATGTTGATAGTTTTGATAATAATGTTGATGAATATGATGATGATGAAACTGAGCCACCGTCGGCTACTAGTCCCACTCCCAATCCCTCTTCCCTGGCTCTCGCTCCCTTTCGTTGTCCTGCTCCCACCCCCCCCGTGCATCCTAGGACTAAGGTAGAACGCGCTAAAAAATCAGTTGTGTGGCAATTTATGACTCAGAATGAAGATAAAACACAAGCTATTTGTAATAAATGTAAACATAGAATGAATCATAAAACTGTAGGAAAACAGGGTGGGACGGGACATTTGAGTAATCATTTAATGTCATGTTGTAAAAATGAATTTTTGCATGCTAAAGCTGTAGCCGAAGCTAAAAAAAATGGTACCACCCTTCCTGAAAATGTAAGAGTAGATGGCTCTAATATGGTCCAAACACAATTAAATCCTTCTAATGTTTCTGGTTCTAGTATACAACGGTCATATAGTAGAGAAAAAGATCTTGAAGAATTAGCTAAAATGATTGTTGTTATGGGTTTGCCATTTAGTTTTGCTGAAAATCCCGGTTTTATTCATTATATTCAAATTGTGTATAATCCACATTTTAAAGGTTTTACTAGAAATACAATTAAAAAGGCTATCTTTGATTATCAAGCTCAACATTTTCAATATCTTCGTTGTTTATTTTATTATAACAATTGTAAAATAGCTATTACTTCTGATATGGGCCGTAGTGTAAATGGTAATGATTATTTCACAATTACTGCGCATTGGATTGATGAAAATTGGACTTTTCAAAAAAGAATTTTAGGTTATAAATGTTGTGAAATGCATAAAATCGGTAGTTATATAGCTCAAACAATTATAGATGTTTTGCAAAACTATGGAATTTGTGATAAAATAAGTAGTGTCACATTAGATAATGCTTCTAATAATAGTAATGCTGTTGAAATACTAAAACCGTCTCTTTGCCCTATTTATATTGATGGTTTTCATATTAGGTGTGCTGCACACATATATAATTTGATTGTTAGAGATGGTATAGCAATATATGATGATGGTTGCACAAAAGTTGAAACTGCATGTCATTTTATTTTTAAATTTCAAGTTAAGTCTAGATGTAGAGATTTTGAAAATCGTTGTCGTGAATTTAATCTTCCACCTAGAAAAGTTCCAAAATCAGCGTGTACTAGATGGAATTCTTTATTTGAAATGCTTGAAGTTGCTTATGAATATAGGAAACCTTTACAAATGGTTTGGAATGCTCATAATTCAAATATGACATATAGACTTGATGATAATGATTGGAATGACATAAAAGAACTTATAGAATTCTTAAAAGTTTTTTATTTAACTACAAAAAAAATATCTGCACTTTATTATCCAACTATTTGCTCTGTTTTACCTAATATTTGTGCTATTTCTAGTAAATTTTATAAATTCAAAAATAAACCAAGATTTGAACAATCTGTTAAGAAAATGATTGAAAAATTTAAAAAATATTTTATTCCTATTCCTCAAATTTATTTAACTGCTTGTTTGTTAAACCCACATTACAAAGATGAAGGTGCATCACGAATGGTTGATAAAATATATTTTAATTTAGGTATTGATAGTGAAGATGATGAAACACCTAGTTGTCAAGATGTTAAAGATAGTATAAAAATTGAAGCTAGAAAATTGTACGACTTGTATAATTCTAATATAAGGAATGTAGTACATAACGAAGAGCCTCAAAGTTCTAGGAGTAGATATAATAATGAAGATGATATTGATGATATGATAGATTGTATTATTGAACTTTCTCATAATGATAGAAATGATTTTGATGCATATATTAATCAAAATACAGAACCTACTACTATTGATCTTCTAGAATGGTGGAGCAATCGCGGCAAAAGATTTCCAAAACTACAACCGGTTGCTCGAGATGTGTTAGCTATTCAAGCATCTTCAGTAGCTTCGGAAGGCGCTTTTAGTGCAGCAAGATTTCAAATTGGAGAGCATAGATATTCATTAGCAGCAAATAGCTTGGAGATATCCGTACTATTAAGAGATTGGATTAATGGCGAGAGAAGGAGTTATGGTCGTCCACCTCTACTGACCAAATTTGAAAATGACGTTGATGAAATAATGCTAGATTTTAGTGATGACGGCATTGATGCAATGGAAGAACTAGCTAATCAACCAATTCCAGAGCATGTTACTAGAGAAATGTTAAATGATTTAAAAAAAGATTTCCTTGGTAGCATGAACTATTAAATTTAAATGTCTATTAGTATGAGTATAATAATTTGAGGTCTAATTCAAACAGAACCCTTCCTAGAAGGTGGCTGTGTAGATTAGATTTTTTAATACTCTACTAATATTTTGTAACTCAACTTGTACTATTTAATTAATATTAATAAAAGTATAGGCTATTCGCCTTAATTTTTTTTTATTATTGTCTTCAAAAGTTCAAATTTAACTTTTAAAGTGTGAAATTTAAACTTTTATAGTTTTAAAGTTTTAAATTTTCAAACTTTTAAAGTGTGAAATTTAAACTTTTATAGTTTTAAAGTTTGAATTTAAATTTTCAAACTTTTAAAATTTAAAGTGTGAAATTTAAATTTTTATAGTTTTATAGTTTTAAAGTTTATAATTTAAATTTAAATTTTCAAACTTTTAAAGTGTGAAATTTAAACTTTTTATAGTTTTAAAGTTTGAAATTTGAATTTAAATTTTCAAACTTTTATAGTTTTAAAGTTTGAATTTAAATTTTCAAAGTTTTAAATTGTGAAATTTAAACTTTTATACTTTTAAAAGTTTGAAAGTTTGTATTTAAAACTTTAAAAGTATAAATTTTTAAGTGTAATGTACCTAATTTTTTAATTTTAATAAAAAAATATAATTTATAACGGTTGGACCCGGTTTCCGGTCCGGTCCGGTCCGGTCCGTTACCGGTCCGGGACGGGTACACGTATTTTTTTCCGGAATTACCGGTTCCGGTCCGTTCCGGTTCCGGTTCGGTTCCGGCCCGTGATGCCCGGTTCCGTTCCGGTTCCGGAACGTCTTCCGTTGCCACCCTTAGTTACACATGATGTTTCTTTTATTTTCTTTGAAATTAATATTTTTACTGCTTTTTTAGAGAAAATAGGAAGAAAAGCGATGAAATAAAATAAGAAAAATACTCTCCTCCAATTTTTTTTTTAGAAAGAGAACTATTTTTTCTATACTTATGGACAACATAATATATTGCTAAAACTATGGGACTATAATAATTTTTTAAAGAAAATGTATAATGTATTTATTAACTAAATCATAATTAGAGATTTACTTTGGGAAATTAAAAATCTTAGTTGTAATGACCCTCAGGGTTATTTCTTAATTTTATACGTGCTTTTTCTGTTTTGAATCTTCCCGTAGCTTCCTTATAGCTTGTGTGATGCTGGGTTGGGTGGCACGCTCCGTGAGGTGTTCGGTTGAGTTTGGTGCGAGTTTGAGTT